TTTTTTTTTTTTTTTTTCTTAAAGCTGTTGGAGCCAATTCCTGTTGTCTTGTTCCAATCAATTAGATAGATTAGATCAATTAGAAATGGGTCCTTTAAAAAATCAACACCGTATTTTAGAAGTCTCCCCCGCTTTCATACATGATGTTAATGAATGAATAGCACAGACTCTTCACATTTCCCTCAGAGTTAAACTCATTGAAATCTTATACATTAGCTACATTGGCATATTTATATAACAACAACAGTAGCAGGTATTTTTGCCATTATAACTTGTAGTTTTGGTTGCCATCGTTCTCAGTGGGCGCAGCCACATGAGATGTTTATTGTAGAGTTGCCTAATTAGCTCCACCGTAAAGTCTCAGCATCTACACATGCGCCCATATTAGGGTGCAGTAAACTAATAAACGCTGCTGTAGGTTAGTACTTATAAACATAAATACTATGCTGTGGTGGCAACATTTACTGCGCCACAACACACGTATAGATGTTGATAAGGCTGGCTGAGGCATGAGGGTGCTTTAGCACAGGGGCTGCCTGCTGGCTAGCCCTGCACTGAAGCACCTTCATGCCCCAGCCAACCCCTCCACAGCACTTTGAGCCAGGTCAGAGCAGCCCCAGGCTGACAGGTTGGCCCCCTGGATCCCTGCCAGCTGAGGCTGCTCTGACCTGACTTAACGTGCTGTGATCGCTGTGATCTGGGCACACATGCAACTGTGGTGCCCAGGAGCAATAAACTCTAGTGTAAACTGCGCCAGAATTTATTGCGCCATGCTAATAGAACACGTAGATGCACCCAATGAGATTGAGGCAACGTGCCTTTGGGTGAGATACTGCTTTTCAAAATGAGCAGTCTTTCATTGTTTCCAGTGTGAATCCAAGCTGTTTCTGGAAAAGATAGTGCCACCTCATTGGATAGTAGGGGCAACCTGTGTAAAATTTTGCAGTGAGAGCTCTTCTGTCTCCAGTGCCACTGAAAGCCTCCTAACTAAAGAAATGTACATAGTAATAGAGGAAATAATGTTATCTTTTAATCTTGTTGTTTCAATAGATCTGAACTCCCAGATAAGTGAATATGAAGAGAAACTTTCAGTAAGGGAGATCGAGAAGGATTATTGGCTGGAATACAGAAATGTGGGAAGTGGAGATCATGCCAAACAGATCCAGATCTTGGAAAAGGACATCCAGGCACTCAAAGATGACCTTAATGAAATGACAGGTCAGTTACAAATGTAAATACACACAATGCTCCATGTAAACACATGCCTGAGCTACTTTCTTAACTTGCAGAAAGTAATTTGTGATCAGATTAATTACACATGTTAAAGTCAACATTTTCAAATCTGGTTGCCTGAACTTAGGCTTCATGTGCTAGTTTTAGGCAGTTAAATTCAGGCAAACTGTTCTTCAGAGGTGTTCCACTGATGTCTAGATGTTACAGGTGCCTGGTACTTTGGGCACTTAAGATGCTTTTATTTAGTTGTCTTAAGTGCAGATTACAGAGCCTAACAATGGGCCCCAATTTGGAAAGTGCTGATCTATTCTGCTATGCTTTTACTGTTTTGATGGATCACTACATTCTCTATAAATTTCCTTTTCAAAAGTCCTTATTCACAGGAATTCACATCATTGGAGCTGATGAAATCTGAATTTAATATGGTGCTTTAAATCTAGAGCTTGTGGAGGCAGGTATCAGTCTCTTCTAGCTAACAGAGCAGCACCTCATTCCCCAAGGTCTGAGTATAGTATACTGGTTACAAGGCGATGGGTGGAAAGCTTTGCAAAATCCTCAGCACTAAAGTATGCATATTCTGGGAACTGTTTCAGTTCTAACAAAGCAACAGAACACTATTAAAAGCTTAGTGATCGTGTTGGTGAGTGCTTAAAACCATTAGATTCGCTTATACAGTTAATTTTAAAATCATGTGCTAGTTTTTTAGCTGTTGTGTAACTTTTAGGATTAAAAAAAGAGTCATGATTTGCTTCCCTTATAAGCTTCTCTGTATTCATTACCAGAGCCAAGCAGCCAGTAGTGACAGGCAGTGACAACAATATAAGGGTCTCCATACATTCAGTGCCAACCATTACCAAGCATCAAGTGCTGTAGATAAGAGCTATTCAGCTCTTTGTCTGCCCCAGGATAACAGCTCTGAAAACACACTTGATCGTGATTGAGATCTGAACTGTTTTCCACACTGCTTGCTACTCTGCCAGTTCACTTAAGTAACTATTCTAGGAAAGCCTGATACTTCGAGTTTCCCGTTTGCAATGAATTTAAATCTTTACTGGGCCAACTGAGATATAAATATTTCTGGTGTCAACATTTAAAAGAAGATGTTGTATTTAAACAAAAGATGTTGTAAAGATCTGCAAAAATGATTTGAGAGCTAGAGACTTAAAGACTTTACTCTGTATAAGCAGAAAACTGAAAGGTGATCAATTGTGGCATATAACCACCCTTACAGGGAGAAAATACCAGGTACTAATGGGCTTTTTAATCTAGTACAGAAATAACTGAACAGAAAGACATGAGAACCAATAGGTAGAAGCTGAAGCCATACAATTTAAAATGAGACAAAGGCACACCTTTTTAAGAGTGAACATGATTTACTATGGGAACAAAGTACCAAAGGTGTAAGAAACCAGTCCATTGTTGTGCTGCCGCGCCCGCACACCGCACCCACATACTGCCCTGTACGTAGTATTGTATGTGTCGGCATATCGCCGCCTACGGCACTACTGGCCAACGGGCACGTGCGGCCAGCATGGAATCATCATGTGATTTCAAGTAGTTGAGCGCACCCGTAACTCCTGCACTTTTTAACTGCTGCACTCTTCAAATCAGCCCATGAATAGAATGCCTGAAGCTGATTGGGTGAAAGCGCACCTCAAGGTTGCGATGAGTATAAAAAGCGGTGGTTAACGCCGCTCGGGGAGGACTTAACGAAATCCACCAAGTGTGCAATTTCCACACACCACGGGGACCGGCCACCCCCGTGCCTCCCACCATCGAAAACTCCCGGCATACCCCTTCCCTGGTTAGCGCATCAGATCCTACGAGCAGTTCTGCTTCTCAGTAACTAGCAAACAGAAAACGAGGTGAAAAGTGAAATCTTTGTAAGAAGGCTGCAGCCTGCACCTCCGACGCGGAGTGTAAGTAAAAATAAACTTGTTTGAAGCCATACGAGTGAGTTCCCTGACTGCCTTTATAAGTCCAGATACCTGACGAGAGTGAATCCCTTCGCAACCTGATTGGGGGAGCAACAAAAGGAAGTGGAATTCTGTCTGTGGCTGTCTTCAAATCAAGTTGGGTATAGGCTGAAATGCAATGGTGTCCTGTGTATGCAGGAGGTAGCACTAAAAGATCTAGTGGTGCCTTCTGGGTTCTAACATTTATGAATTATGAGAAATGTTTAATTAATTTTTATTCAGAGATGACTTCTCCCATCAGTTCTATAGCTGGTTAAAGGTTAAATAAACCTTAGGTCTGATATACACCAGAGGATAAGTGAATACAGTCTAGTTTTATAGTTATCATTAATATCCTGTGGGGTGAAGAAGAATTTTAGGAGACAAAGATGCTTTAAATCTGCTGCTCTGCTGTTATATTCCAGTCATTGTTGTATATTTAAGGTTATAGGAAACAAACTACTGCCAACAGGAGAGGGTAGAGAGTCCCAGGGCACTAGCAGGAGTCTGCAGAAATGTTCTCCTTGCCCCGTGCACTGTACCTTCATAGTGAAGGCAAGAGCAACTTTTGTTGTACTCTATAAAGTACAACATTCTGTAGCATGTTCTCATATATATCAGTTGTTCTACAGGTCAGTGCAGGGGACGGGATTTCACGTCTTTGTCTGCCTCTTCCCTTTCTCCCTAAGGGTGGACTCATAAAATGGAAGAACTGAGAGAGTGGTCAGCTGTACTATAATGGGAAGAAAGCTTCTTGATTCCTTGCATCTCTCCTGCATAGCAGCCCAGGATAGAATGCAGTTTGATTTTAACCGTTAGTGTTAATCAGTCCACTGACACACAACAACAGTGTGCTAAGATTCAATTGAATATATAATCTGAAAACAGACGTTCAGGTGTGTTAAAAATATTGATGCCATGACTAGTGAGGCTAGCTTGAGTTCAGGAACGCTGGGCCAGTTATCAATTTCTCTTCAGAGGGATTCAGTCACTTAGGCACAGGTCCAGAAGAGAACATCATCATCCCCAGAAGTAGGTACTGTGCTTCAGCCGCAAAGTCCACAAGCCCAAGGGAGGATCCTAAGTTCCGTATACATTAACTGGAAAGATTTGGGTTTTGAGGGACTGGGATTCAAAACATTTTGGTACACTAAGTAGAGGGAGAGGGGAAGGCCTAATTTATGAATGCCGTATACGTTACATGGAGTTTAGATATCCAGATGTTTGGCTTGGCCAAGCTGGCAGCAGATCTGAGCATATGCAGTAGCTGAATGTTAGGCATCTACCTATTCTCAGGTACCTAAGACAGATAAGTAGGGTTTTTGTGCAACATTCACTTTGAATTCAGTGTTTAAATATAATGTAAAATACAGCATGAGCACCCAGGTTCTCTTTTGGATCTGGTCCTTAAAAAAATTCTGCTTTGTTTTTGCAGAATTCTATAGAAGCACTTTGCAAATGACAAAAGATAAGATTGACAGAATGGTTGAGAAACAAAAGAGCCAAAAGAAGGAATGGGCCACTGAGGTATGTGTGTGTGTGTTTATGCATGCAGAGAAATATATATTTTTGCTTTTATACTTAGTAGCACTTGCAACCAGATTAAAAAATATATAAGCTTGAACTTTTCCAAATGAATTACAGGATGTTACATGAGTAGGAGTTGTGAATAAAATAACTGAAAAACATTTTTATTGACCAGGGTTGTATTGCTCATTATTTTTAATGGACTGTAGCAATAATATCTACCACTTTTATAGCACAGTTTTTATAGATTGGGAAACTTACATCCAGAGAGGTGAAGTGACATGCCCAAGAACTTGACATATTTCCTATGAATTTAATTTTGATATTATCACAGACTGGGAAAATCATTAATAATCCACTATGATCATTCCTCCTTGTGGAATTAAATGTTGAATCTTTGAAAAAAAAATGAGCATTTTGTTTGAAAACTCAGAAGCATGTTTTGAAAATGCCAAAGCATTGCTATTTCTTGAAATAAACATGGAACAAAACAAATGTAATTCTTTAGTGCCAGTTCAGAATTGTAGCTTGTCAATTTTAACAGGATTTTGCATTTAAAAAAGAAAAATCTTTAAATTTCTGCAAGGCCAGTGTCTGGAGAAACAAAACTGGTAGTGATTGATATGTCTTGTTGCACAAACACTGACATGTTTTCTTTACTTAAAAATATGGGAGGATTCCAACTTCCATTAAACAAGTGAACACTGTTTGCAAGATTGAGGCTTTAGAGTGTTTTATTTTAAAGTTTTATTATACATTAATTTCTCCTTCAGAAATGAATATTGACTAGAATGTGGACAAAGGTGATTAAAGATAGAAAAAAGCATTTACCTTTTCTGTAATCTAAAGACAAACATACATTTCATTCATACTGGAACCCAAATTGCTCTCTTAAATCAGTTTTCAGAAAGCATTTTGCAGAGATCTGTGCACATTTATCATTGGGATGCTATTGTCATTGAATCCCTTTAGCAATCAGGGATTTACTTCACTGACTTCAGAAGGTCACTCTTGATTTTCAGTGGTACAAGAAGAGAATCAGACCAATGCTTGTGTACTTACAATTCTAAACAAGGGATGTCAAACTCATCCATTTCTGTGAGCTGGATGAGTAGTGCAGTGTGGTCCACTGTTGAATCCAAAGCATAGGGCCAGATCTAGAGCATAGAGACATCATCTGGCCCATGGGACTGTTTGTGGGGCCAGAAATTTGGTGGTGGGGCAAGTAGTGGCAGTGTTAATCGCTGTGGCTTTGGGAGCTACAGCAGCCCCCACTCATCCCATCACCATAGTTCTAACCCATGGGCAGCCTTATGCACCAGATGACGTAGCTCTGAACTCCAGATCTAGCCCATGAGTCAGTAACACTGTTGCCAAATTTCTAGCCCCATGGGTCTGATGAGACAGATCCATGGTTGAGATCCAGCCTGTAAGCTGTACCTTTGACATCCCTATTCTAAACAATGGCTTGCTCCTTCCTGTGTCTCCATCTCCTCTTACTTGAATCAGAAATGAAGTTGTAGCTCCTGCCAGCAAATTAACTACCTTGGGCCTCTACATAAGTGAGGAACGTCACTGGATCAAGTTATAATGCAGTATTTGTAGTATTGCTTCATTCGCATTGCAGAAGTCTGATTTTACAAATACAAGATTATTACATCAGTGCAGGGTACCTCAGGAGTAGAAAGAGATAGTTAGACATGTTAGTTTGAAGTCAAGCAGATGGTAGGGAAGGTTTCTGAATGAGTTAGTCTTGAAGGTACCACTCTACCCCACCTTCAGAAATCAAAGGAAAGCTGGGGAGGAAAAATAAGATACAGAAAAAGAGGAATCGGATAATGTGCCCTGGCTGGGATGATCTGGGAAGGATGGCTGATTTTTGGAACTAAACCTCCTCCTCCTTCCATGGTGGAGTATCTTCGTGTCCACAAGAGATCGGTACAGTTCTCTGGGTTGATGTTTCTTGCCTAGAGGACTAAACTGCCTATTGGAAATGTCTTCTGTAAGTATCTATTATTGGCAAAATCCTATCTTCAGAGGAGTTCTCTGATGTTTATTTTTTCAGAATGCTGTTCAACACATTGACAAAAGCAGTTGCAGGGACATTAAAGAACATGAATGGCTAAAAGAAGAGGTAAGAGTCACCCAATTTTTTTCCTCCGTGACAAGATGCATTTGACTTAGTGGTAGGTTGTAGATATTTGCTATCTAAGGTAGACCACTAAGGATGACTAAAAAGGTGAAAAGAATTTTGCTCTAATTTCAAGCTGCAAGGAGAAAAATATGTTCTGTGTATTTGGCATTAAGATCTCAAGGTGAACTTTCTTACTCTCAGTTGTACTACCTACCTTTCTGCCTTAATCTCAGTTTTTACTACAGACTTTGGCACTCCTTACATCAGGTTTTTAAAAAATAAGTAATAACATGTTCTCTTCAAAGATATAATTAAGGGGTTCATCTACAAACATCTAGCAAATCATCTAGCAAACATCTACAGAGTAATTTTAAAGTATGTAAAATGTTGACTGCTATAAGAAAACATATTAATGTTAGACATGGATGTGAGATGTGGTTGTGGAAAAAGGGTCTTAAGAATCTTAGTTCTACATGGGAGTTGAGTAGAAAACCTGTAATTTAGTGTACAGGAGAAAGGAAACCCAAAGTGTTATCTGGTAGTTTTTATTAGTTACTTTGTGGCTTTGGTGCTTGCTTGCTGATATCTTAATGGACTATAACTAAGCTCTGGCAGGTTACAGTTGAAGCCTACATAAATTGTGTGTAATCTTTTTCTGATCTAAGTGCAGAAATTGCATTTTCCAGGATGAAAGACTCCCAGCCCATGCTTTTGTTTGTTCTGCTCAACACTGATTCTGTATCCCATTCAAGACTGAACAAGGACATTGATAAAAACAGAGATGAAGTGTAGCAGGCATGCTCCTTCCTGCAGATCTACCAGCAGGTTTATGAGTTGGTTCGGTTTAAGGGTTGAACACACTTTAATAGTTAACTCTTTGCATTTTTTCAGTGGTAGATTCTGGAGGAGAAGGTGGCCGTGGTGTCATTCCATTTGATCTAATACTACACTAAACTGTGTGAAATAGCAGGCCCTCTGAAGGGTAGGATTAGGATTCAAAATGACAAGGGATCCTGGTTTTCTCTGATTCAAAAAAATCCCCAATTTTCAGTTAAAATCCATTTTTTCTGTGTTTTAAATAGAACACCACT